GCCATCAGTAAATAGTGATTAAATGATCAAATGTCCTCGGGGTTGTTATGCACACAAGACACAAAAAGATTCAGTTTCTCAAAAAAGAAATGATTTCATGACTATGAAAATAATACCAACAAACATTTTTTTGGACACTCACCATGGGCCAGGCCCTTTATACGTGGGAAGAAGATACTAGATGAGGTGATTGAGGCTTGGAGAAGTAGGAAATTGTCTAAGGCCACTCATCTAATAGTGTTGGAATAGATATTTGAATCATATTCATTTATGCACCAATTATATGACAGGCATTGATTGGAGAGAACAAACAAATTCCCTGCTCTAATAGAGCTAACATTCTAGTAGAGAGAGAGAGATACAAGAAATAAAATGTATATATATGTCAGATGCTGTAAGAAAACAAATTAAGGGAATAAGGAGTGATGGGGGATACTATCTGAGGTAGGATGATCGGCAAGATCTCTTTGCGGAAGTAACATTTGAGAAGAGACCTGGGTGATGTGAGAGAGTAAGCCATAAATTTGTGGGTAAAGAGCCAAGACCTCGAGGTAAACAGATGTTCTGCATGTTCCAGGAACAGCAAGGAAGCTAGTATGCTGGTACCCAGGGAGTGAAGAGCACAAGGGGCCAAAGGGAACTTGTAGGCCAGTGGAAGTCTTCGGATTTTATTCTGAGTGAAGTGGGAAGCCATTAGTAGATTTGAGCAGGGGAAGGACATGATGTGAGATTTTAATAGGATCACTCTGGCTGCTGAATGGAAAAAGGCCTGGAGAAGAGCAAGAGTGGGTACAAGGAGCTCCTTTTGGAGCTGTTGCAATGATCCAGAATAACAATGATGATAGCGTGGACCTTGATTGTTGCAGTGGAGATGGTGAGACATGATTGGAGTCTAGAAATATTTTGAAGGTAAAACCAACAGGATTTGCTAATGAATTCAATTTGGCAAATAAAAGAAAGAAAGGCATCAAGGATGACTCCCAGGTTGTGGCCTGAGTAATAGGGTCAATGGTCATAACATCAACTGTTATGGAAGATGCTGAGGAGGCAGGTAGTTAAAGGAGTCTGGAACTGAGGGGAGAGGTCAGGCTAGGGAGTTACCAGGCTATCGATGGCAATCAAAGCCTTGAGATCAGACAAGATCACCAAGGAAGTGACTATCGCTAGAGGAAAGAAGAGGTCCAAGAGCTGAGCCATGGCACCCCTGGGCATTCTAACATTTTGAGATCAAGAAGAGAAGGAAAAAACAACTAAGCAAACTAAGATGACAGGGCAAATGAGACTGGCAGAAAATCTGGAGAGCGCGTGCCCCAGAAGCCAAGTGGAGAGAATATTCCATAAAGAGAGTAGTCAGCCATGGTAATGGGAAATGGTCAGTAAGGGGCAGGAAGAGTCACGGTCTCTGGGGTACAATGTCTGTGGGCACTGGGCAGGGAATCTAGTGTGGAGAGAGGAGCAGCCCAAGCCACACACACAGCCAAACCATCACCCACCTGTCATCCGTGTTTGAGACTCCCACACAGAGACTGAAGTCTAGGCTGATGTCACAGTCACTTCCCATGTTCACAAAAAGGAAGTGGTCTGATAAACATCCATTGACAGTGGGCTGAACAGGGGTGGCAGTGGGAATTTGCGTTTGTGGCTAAGTTGGTCTTGATGGATAGTGGCTCATTCATGGAGAGATTAGGAGGAGATGGATTTGAACTATGAATTTGAATTATGTTAGGCAGATAGGAAAGTCACACCTTGTTCCCAAGGAAGAAGTGACATGTGAGGAGAGAAAAGGGAAGGAGTCCACACCATAGGGGTCTCCAAACCCTGCAGGTTTTTTCATTGTCCTCTTTGCTATGGGGGTCAATGGGTGTCATGGTTTGAATTATGTCCCCCCAAAAATGTGTGTATCAATTTGGCTAGGTCATGATTCCTGGTACTGTGTGATTTTCCTGTATGTTGTAA